GCTGGGAGCGCGGCGAGGAGGCAGCGCCAGCGCCACACAGTTAACGCGCCCTTCACAAGAGGCGGCTCTCATTTATTTGGCTGATTTTGTTTGTTTATTCCTCTACGCGCGCGCGGCGCGCTTGTAAACACAGAGCGCTCGCCCGCCCCCAGCCTGGCCGCCCTTCCGCTATGGGGGGGAAACCTTGCCGGGAGCAAGGCAGCCGTTCAGAAATCCTTAAAAATAAAGGAAAAAGAAACAAAAAAGTGCAGCGCTGTGCCCCCGGGGGCAGGCTTCCCTCCACTGCCTTTTAACGGTGCTCCAGGCTAGGCGTGCTCAGGAAATAACACCACCAAATCCTGGCAAATCCTCCGTGTTTCCCTCTTGGGCCTAAAGGCAGGCGGGAGCTCCAGCCCTGCGAGCTGCGGGTCTGTGGGGCAGKGGAGAGGGAGCCGGGCTGGCCGGGACATCCGTCCGGGAGAGACAAGAACCTGCCGCTCCGGGACATCCGTCCGGGATTGACAAGAACCTGCCGCTTCTCTTTTTTTGGTCACGTTTCTACGGGATGTGGATGCRGATGATGGCTGCTAGAGGGCTTGGKTGTTTTCCCCCACCCTGTGGCGTGCTGCTTTCATAAGCAAAATAAATCTGTGAGCTCTACCAGCAAAAACGTTTTCCTCTGTGTAAGCAGCGCCCATAATACGAGAGGGTTTTGCTCTGTGCAAGCAAATCTTCACTTCTCAAATTCTGCGGTGGGAATWATGTAAGATCTATTATAAAACAGATCAGTTGCTCTATGCAGTTGGCACTCTSTGCTTGTTCTGTTAATATTTCTTGCAATTAATTGCTATATATTTAACGGCTCCATGCTGCCGTGGCAGGCGGCATAGGCCACCCCACACAGGGTGCTGACTTAGCCTCTCTGGGGYGTTTTGGGGGGGAAAACTGAATTTTCTGCCTCCATGGCTGTGTTTCCAGCAGCCCTTGGAGCAGCCTGCTGGAAACCAGGGCAGGTCCCGGGCAGGGCAGCTGCATTTGCAGCATGGAGGGCTTGCCTCGCCAGAGGGCCGTGATCTTCCTGCAGTGTCTGTTCCTGGAGAACATTCCTGCTGTGCGGCCTCCGAGGAAGAAGATGGTGACTCCAATGCCTCCCCTTGTTCCTGAGCTAGCTGAGCGGGGGCAAAATATCCCCCCGGGCCATTTCAGAGAAGTGGCTGGGACTATGACATGAGGAGATCTCCTGGCTGATGGCAGCARTGTAGGAAAGCCTTTCCTCCCACCCCCTCATGTTTAGGATGCTGTAAAATGCAGAAATAGGTCACTCTTACTCTGTCATTCCTCCCAATTAGCGAGTTATTTTTCAAATAGGTAACATACGGTGCTTTGTTTCCATGTACCCATGGAAGCTCTCTTAATCGCAGCCACAAGGGCAGTAAAATCCAAGGCAGGTGCCAGGGAGCCCTCCCGAATCCCGGACTCCCGTGCTGGAAGGGAGCCAAGGGGGCTGCCCGCCGGAGCACCCCGGGGCCGGATCCAGCGTCACGTGCTGCCCAGCAGCCTCCTCATCCTCAGGAATCCCTCGTTCCCCCGTCCCCGCGCAGTTTCCCTGCATGCACGGAGGGTGATGCCTCTTCTCCGCCTTGCTCCGTCTGCAGAGGGAGACGGATCCGTGAGCGCGACGCAGCCTGCGCCCGCTGCAGAGCAGGAGCATCCGCAGGGCGCCCGCGCCTCCTGCCGCAGCATGGTAAGCGGGAAGCCCCCCTTTAAAAACGCTTAAAATGGATTTTAAATGTAGGGTTATGTGTACTGTGTGCGTTCGTCGCTCCTCCTTTCCCYGAGCGGTATGTCTGAGCTGAAAAGCCTTTGCGTCGGCTTTTCCTCTTGCGCGTAGCCTGGCTTAAAATGTGCCTAATGTTTCTGAGGAGGTGGGGAGGCAAGGACAGCGTACAGCCCTGTGCCGTGTTGGCTATTTCCATGTAGAGTCAGCGTGGTTACATCACCCATAGGCTATAATAATTTTCTGTAGGAAAAAGCAAATACCCGTGTGGTTTGTGTTTATTATAGGTGCTGGTAGCACAGGAGTGTTTTTGTGGAAAGATTTTAAGGAAAAGGTATGGCGGTTTATACATGGAGTGCTCCTAAAGCCGTGTTAGCAGCTGTGGGGACTCGTAGTTTTGTTTAGGTGGGGCTAGGGGGCAGTGCGGGAGAATTTGCAGTGTCATTTCTTAATGTTGTGTAGACTGGATTTTTGTTATTTACAGAAAATTCTTTAAAGATTCAGAGGAAAAAGGAGGGAGAAATTCACCTACAGTATTTTTATGAATATTTTTAAGCTCTACCGTTATAATTTTATCTTCCCTTCTTCCCCAACGCTGTATTTGACCAGAAATAACTGTATCAGCTTTTTCTGTGGTAAAATCCATATGATTCTGGGGTTTGGGGGAAAATACAGAGGAGTATATTTGAGTGGGGGAGCAGAGAAAGCTACATCAAGTGTCCACAGAGCTCTGTTGAAACAAATATGACCTATTATTATTATTATTATTATTATTATCTCATGTATCTGAACAAATTCTGTCGTTCTGCAGAGCATTTGGGAAGTAACTTTTGAATTGCTCTGCTAGATGGTAGGAACTGGTGAACAGAATCAGGTGATTCTAGGAGAAAAATAGGGGAAAATGTCTTATGAAAGTGTCAAGTTCCAGCCTCTCGGTTTCTTTTTGATGAAACTTGTCTGCATTTTCCATACCCTGTCAGGCCCAGTTAATTTAGCTGATCAGTTCAAAGTTACGATTTTCTCCAGGAGACTCACAGAATTTCTCATTACATAAACTTAAGGAACCAGGCTAAAAATAGCAATGGATTGTTAAAGAAGTTGGCCCCGAGCGCATGTTTGGTTTGAAACATATTTTGTGACTATTTTGGAGTAAATAATTGGGGGAAAAAAAAAACAGAGCAGTTGCTAATTGCAAGACAATTACACCTTTTCTGAACTGAACTGCTACAGCATTCAGGTTCAAGGTAATCTTTCCTGCAGGCTATATTTAATAAATAAATGTTAAGGTAACAGGTGTAGATGTTTAAAGCAATTACATAAGCCATACATGAAAGCCATGCATGCTTCTTTTTCGCCTGATACATGTRTAAGCCTACTTGTATGCAGACCACACACTTATTTTCAGTACTTATGGCAGAAGAAAAAGCAATCTATAGCTTTAGTGTCTGTAATGTTTGCCATTCTGTTAATGTATGGCAAGGATTCAGTAGGATATCAAAACCCACTCAGATGTTGCTCTTTAGTGGCCCTTATGTATTCTGTCTTCCATGTGTTATGTAGGTGAGTGTGTGAGAAATCTTTTTCTAGGCTTAAGAATCAGTTTCCCAGTAATTTAAAAAGCATTCTTGCATTTTTCTCTGCTTCAGAATAGTGCAGTCAGTGATAAAGCAGATTTGACCAATCCTAGAATGAATGACCCAGGTGGATTTAAGGTTTTCTTGTGTAAAGATACTCCAATCGTTTGTGTCACAAAGACTGAGTTAAACAGTCTTGTAACATTTGTATTCAAATGGATTGCCACAAGAACGTATTACCACGGGATCTAGGAGAGCACTCAGCCTGTCCTCTATCTTCCGTGCTACAGAGAGACTGAAAAGYAATTTTATGTAAAAGGTTTTATTTCCAAAGCCACGTGCATACATCACATGCACTACTGTGGCGGGTAGCGCTGCCTCTTGCTTCCAGACTCAGTAAAGTGCTGTGGGATGTCGGATCTCGGGCACGTTCATAGTCCCCTCCACAGGCACGGACGCGGTGGGCTGARCTCCAGGCATGTCCCATCACAGTGYAGCTTTAATGCTGCAGGTGAGACGCATGGAATAATGGCGAGTGCTCAACTTGCACAGTCAGAAAGAGACAAGTTTTCCTGGAGCTGGCATAGGATGTTAGTCATAGTTATTGCTTAGGTTSAGTTGAGAGAGAAGCAGCTTTTCCACCGCTTTGGTGGGTAGGGCTGTGCGTCTTGCAGAATCACAGGATGGGTGAGGTTGGAAGGGACCCCTAGAGATCCTCTGGTCCAAGGCTCTGCTCCAGCAGGGACACCCAGAGCACGGGGCACAGGGCGGCATCTGCCGCATCTTACCCTGATACTTGGCAAATCCAAAGTGTGACAAAAGAAGTCATGGGAGAGGTAATATCTGAGGAATTCAGATTTTTTTCTTCCAATTTTTGCTAGCTAAGCAGTGCCTGGGGAGCAACTGAGAGCAAGGCCGTACTATTCTCTGTGCCTTTCAAGAAGCCTGATGCCTCTGAGGCTTTTAAGTTTTTTAACTGAAATAACTTCAGGTTTGCTCATTGTTTTTGTGTAGGTAATATCGTAGATTTAAAATGTAGTCGAAATATCTGCTGTCAAAATAGATACTAAGCAAGAGGAGCCGTTTTAAAGAAAATTTGCACCTTGTGAAAATGAGATAAAAAGGGTTTTTTTTTTTTAGAAATGATAGAGACATTGCATTTATCAAGTGGAACAGTCCAGGTTCATTGGAAAGTGAGCATTTCAGCCCTGCCAAGAGGCTCTAGTAGAGRGCTACGTGAGTAAGGACAGAAAGCTGCCTTTTCTGTGTGCCTGCAAGCTACTGCATCACTTAATATTCCACTTTTCCAGTAACAGCAGGCTTAAAATTATACGCAAGGATTAGCGAATGCGCTGCAGAGCTTTGGCTTGGTACATATGGCGTTTTAAAACGTCAGTACCCACCGGGAGCAGAGGGGAGAAGTTAGAGGAGCAGAGCGGGTTCCTGTGGGCGCGGGATCCCCCGGGAGCGGGTGCCGGGGGGCAGGGGGCAGGTGTCAGTCCTGGCCCCCACTCGGATGGCTTTCAAGTGGGTCTTTGGATGCCTGGTGGATGTAAAAATAATAACCACGCCGTGACGGATAAGCCATTTCTTGAGATGAAAGCGTGTTTGGTGGCTAATAACTGCCAAGAGTAAATAAATAAAGACACAGGAGGGGTCCTCGTCCGGAGCTGCCACGCATCCCAGGATGTGCATCCCAGGATGCACACGCCTATACGTGCCCGGGTGTGCGTGTGGCCGCGCGGGTGCGTGGCTGCCGCGGGGCTCGTGCCTCGCGCCCCGGCTGCCGTGGCCCCGGCGGCCCGCGGCCTTCCCCGGCGGGCGGGCAAGCCGAGGAGCAGCGGGGAGGCCGCGCGCAGG